AGAATTTATAATTGTTCCATTTAATTGCAAATTCATTGATAATCTTAACCTAAAATCTATTTTCTCTGACACTTCAGTCATTGATTTGCTTCCCATTTTGATTCAGTCTTTTACACCATTACAGATTTATTATGAGTATAATGATCCTATAAGTCTTTCTATTTGTAACTATGCTTCATTCTTAAAGAAACTTTCTATTTCTGATATTAAATCTATTTTAGGTAGTCCATGCGATTGTCACTCCTCCCCTTTCAATTATCCTCCTCATGGACATGTAGTTACTGGTAATTTAGATATTGTTGATAATGTTGAACTTAGGGAAGTACTTTCCTACGGTTGTAAATACAGAATTCCCACATTTAAATCTCCAGATGAGATATATATGTCAGTTACCGAAGCTGTCGATAAATTTATAAAATCAAAAAGTAGAAAGTACTGTCAAAAAGAAGTAAAGTTCAGCGATTGGAAGGAAAAAGTGTTATCAATAGTTTCCAATCGTATTGAATATTACAAGAAAAACTTTCCTGAAACATTTGAAATAAAAGAAAACACACTGGAAAAAGATGATGTTAAAAGAAGTCTTAAATTGCTGAAAAGTAAATACATTATTTGTAGTATCGACAAAGCTTCTGGTAATTTTTCATTTATTTGTAAAAAGTTTTATGTAAAAACTCTTGTCAATGAAATGGGTTTTGATCCTAATACTCTAGAATGTATAGGTAATGATACATATAAACCCTGTAGCGAAGACGAGACTCATTATGTCAATAAAATATCTGAGAGTCTAAAGGAGAGATTTAATGTACAAGTTGAAGATAAAAACTTGCGACTAGCACGCATCTTCTGGAACCCTAAGCTTCATAAGAACCCTTACAAGGCGAGGTTCATTGCAGGTGCCCGTTTTTGCGTTACGAAACAACTTAACGTCCAAGTTAACTGTTGTCTGAAACTTTTGAGGAAATACTTCAAGAAATACTGCGAGGCAATCTACAACAACAGCGGTATAAACATGTTTTGGAGCATAGATTCCTCAAGTGAATTCCTTGAAGCTATCAAAAATAGCGATGTTTATAATATACAAGTATATGATTTTACTACTCTTTATACCAGATTAGACTTGATTGAAGTAGAGAATATGATTAATGAAGTTGTTGATTTAATATTTTCAGACCGTAATAGATATATTTGTATTTCTAAAAGAGACAGTAATACATGTTTCTTTTCCAATAAAACCTATGATTGTCATGCCTGCTTTAGTCAAGATGACCTAAAAGAGGCTGTTCAATTTATTATTTATAACACTTATGTCGTCTTCGGTGGGATTGTATTCATACAAACCAAGGGTATTCCTATGGGTGGAAATTCAAGTTCCCCTATAGCTGATCTCACTGTTGGCAAAAAGGAATTTAATTATATGAAACGTTTACTTCAGGAAAAGAAAATGGGATTAGCAAAGATATTATCCAATAATAAACGATATGTTGACGATTTATCTATTATTAACTACCTTTACTTTCATAAATTGATTAAAGATATTTATCCTAATTCATTGGAGATGGAGCGAGCTGGTTCCAATAATAAAATCATTAACTACCTTGATTTAAATATTAATATTTCCACAGAAGGACTAGAAATATCAGTGTATAACAAAACTGATGATTTTAATTTTCATGTTGTATCCCTTACATTTCCTCACAGTAACATCCCAACCGAGGTTGGCTACAACGTTTTTTCAAGTCAAGTTCTTAGATATGGTAATGTTAGCACTAGATTGGATATCTTTACCTCCCATCTTCACAAAATATTCAAAATTCTAATTGATAGAGGATATAGCCGTGATAGACTGATTAAAGGCATTAAACGTTGTCTGAGGAAATATGATAACGTTTTCAGGAAGTTCGGTATTCTAGATGACCGTAACATTATTAAAGAACTCCCCTGATATCTTTTGATTTATTGAAACACGGGTACTAACTCTGCTAAACTGAACAAATTCTGAAACTTAGGTGAATAAGTGTACAACGTGCTAAACCGAAGTTCAGACTGACCAGTGAAAATGGGCGAGCGTACCAAGTGTCATTTTAATTAGAAGTTTAAGTCAGTGATTTATTATTGAAGCTTGTAATTACAATATCTAATGCTCCTATAAATACTTTAATTAATTGTTTGTCCCGTTATTCTTTTTCCTTCCTCTTTTCCTTGTCATCCCCTTTAGTTTTAAGATTCTTGCTATAAATGGCTACAGCTAACACTATTAATGCTAAGTACCAAACAACAAGTGGGAGGTGGATCGTTGGTACCATTAAATCGATTTAACACCGCAATTCCAGTCGCAAGCCTGGGACCACTACTAGCATAGTCACAACATCTACAAAGCTGCCACATAGCCTGACTGACAATTTTCTCGACTGACTGACAATGTTTCTTCTTTTTCCCCATTTAGAATACAAAGATTAGTAAATTTTAGCTTATGATTAATATTATATTTTTACCTATAGTTTACTTAGATTCAAAATAACTGTAAAATAACTGCAAAATAACTTCAAAATAACTGTAAAATAACTGCAAAATAACTGCAAAATAACTGCAAAATAACTGCAAAATAACTGCAAAATAACTGCAAAATAACTGCAAAATAACTGCAAAATAACTGCAAAATAACTGCAAAATAACTGCAAAATAACTGCAAAATAACTGCAAAATAACACTCACCCTCAGTAAAGACCTGCTTTATAACACTAGTAAGATCCAGAGGATGATCCCACTCATCATCAACATTATTTACTGGTAACACTGGACACTTCTTTGATTTGATCCTGCGTTTTCTTGAAGGTTTAACCAATACAAATCCATCAGTTTCCATTCTCTCTGTATACCTTGATAGTGGGGTCAGTAACTTAACAAAATATTATTTAAGTACAAAAGATTAAATATACATTACTGTAAATTACTGCATGTTTTATACTGACGTAAATTCTTTTTTTTTTATTATACGAGTTGAACACCACAGTAAAATGATAAAACCGTACTAAACGAAAATAATAATTGATGCATCCATTATATTGTAAGTCTGCAAATAAAAACGATAAATATTATGATTTTAAGCATTATGGCCGTCAAATTTTTGATACCGAAAATATAATCATATAATATGAAATTAATTGAGTATTATAATTCGCATCATGAAACAAATCTGTAACAAATAGGCGGCACATGTATTTCAATAAAAAAACGATCAACAGCACTAAAATACAATATTACTATGAAAACATGTTGAACATCATGCGCACTGCACAGCAGGATAAAAAACAGTCTGATATCACCTGAATTTCTGATCCATCAGCTTCTCCTGGGAACCCCTTCACGGCCATCAGCGTAGGGGAAGACTACACCTCACGTATATTGACATTCTGCGGAGGGAAACAGCAAGGAGATAAACAAACTCATGCTGGATAGACAGATCTGGAGAAACATCATATCTGCTCGGACATTGAAGCCACCCTAAGTCGAGTTAGTCATCACCTGCACCTACAACTCATCGAACGGAGACTTATAATATGCATCATCAGGATCCAATGCGTTATAAACATCACCCCACTTCAACATAGCCGGGTTAAACTTACCCAGGTTCTGCATGTGGTTCCTGACCATGAGAATGTCTGACGGAGGAAGAGTGTCTTTAAACTGCTTCAACCCGATCACGTGGGTCTGAGTGACGTCATCAGTAGCTAGGGTCTTGCAGGTCCTGTTGTCGGAATGTGTATCCTGCAGTGTGTAGCCTATCTTGTTGCCATCAAATACTGGTAACACGTTGCTGTAGCATTCCCGCCAAAATTCAGCGTTGATCTTTTTTAGCATAGCAACTTCTTTGTGGTAATCTTCGTCTTGTTCGGATATGATTCTTTGCAGCTTCTTGTAGAAGTGGTCGTAGAGTTTCTTATCGACAGAATTCCAATCAAGAATCTTCTCCCGTATTTCAGGTTTTATCCCGTTGCTGTATTCGTTGTTTACAGAGAGTTTCACGTATATCATGTGTTTCAGGTCCCAGCACATGAGTCGTCTGAGTAGAACCAAACACTCGTCTAACATTTCTATGATAATGACAAGATGAAAATCTTCATCAACCTTTTTTATCAGCTCATCAACAGCAGTTTCGTTGGGAAACTGAAGAGGGTTCAACCCCAGGTCAAAACTCATGCTGTTCTGTATAAGGTGAAACACAGCATCTGATGCCATCATGGATATTTTCTTAGGATTCCTAAAGAACTCCTCATATGGATTATGATGGGGTTGAAGATTTCTTATCTCTTCCTTGATGCCATGGTTATGGAACACTGACAGAAACTGATCAACAGGATGGCGAAGCAGGGTGGTAAAAATAGTCCCATCCGGCATTATCCTCAGGGCATCCATCTTGTGGAATCTGGAATACTGGCACAAGATACTGTAACCCTGAGGAGGCTTCACAGATTCTAAGTAGTGCATGTTAATCCTACCCGGGTAGTTCAGGTTGAGTTTCAGAGCGTTCATCACAAACTTCAGGTCATGTTCCTGACCGTATCTATAGAAAATGTTCGTTATGGATGATGTCCCGGTTTGGTGTGTTCGCAGGAAGTGTAGATTGTGTTTGGGCTTGCATTGTGGGTCTGGTTTTTTGGGTATTGCATACCATTCAGGTGGATAGACCTTCCCAGGGTTGTAGATCCATGAGTCAGTTTTTATTGGGACTTCAGGATCAATGTCTGATTTCAGACGACGCTGAGCTTTGGGCCAGTTTATTGAGGTGAGCGTGTAGTAAAATATGTAGATTCCTAAGATTGTTACTATGATCTGCCATTCTTTTTTGATTCGTTGAATTACCTTAGCTAATGACATCGTGGCACTGAATAATTAGAGATTAGTTTGGAGATTATTAATATTGGAAGATTTTCAGTAGATGTGATACAGTGAACAATATAAATATAATACATTTTCAAGTGGATCGAAGTAGTTACTAGGTTAGCAGGTTAGTAGAAAGCATTAAATAAATCGACATTCAAAACGAGCTTCATTATAATGATATTTACAAAGGCAATAACCGAACATTAGCAAACAAACTTATAGTTATATTAGTAAAGGATATGAAATTCGCGTTGTCAGGATTCAGGAATATTTAGTTGGATGATAACTTTCAATAATCAATAATGTTGCGTTAAGAAATTTCAGGGCATATAAACTCATATCAAAACTTACTTTTCAACATCTCCTTTATCTTTCATAATTTAATAACAATTACCCTACTGCAATACTAAAAGAACTGGAATTAATAACAATTAAAAATTACAAATAATATATCTGAGAGTGAGGGTCTACAATTGATTCAGCTGAACATTGGGTCACTTATCAATGTACTTAAATAATACTCCCTGATTTCATTATGATCACGAAATAGTCTTAACCGGAAATCAATAAATTTCCACATGTTAAGCCCTTCAATAGAGCTAATAAAACAAATTTCTAATCAGTAAGTCCATGTAACGAAAGTAAACTGTTACAAAAATACTAGAGCTCAAGTATTTACAAGTTTGCACATGATTGAAAAACTAAATAGAACCAGTTGTGTGTTTCATCTGACGAGTAGATCTAAGTTGTTTAAAATCTGAAAGCCCATGTTCACGCTTTAAGAAACAAAGCTGCTTGTGACACATCGACAGCTCCCTCTTCTCGTTTAGCAAAGCAGCTATACAGCCACAGTGCCCAGGCTATTAGTCTGTTCCTCAGGTCCAACACAAAGAAATGCCACTCAAACTTCACCTGGAAAGTAACGATTATCAGTAGATTCGTTATGTTTTCCTATTATTGTATCTAGGTAGATTGTGTTCAAAATAAAATGTTGCTAGACCGACGATAAAGCAATTAAATGTATGAAATTAAAATGTACGATGAAACTTTGCTTGTAGATTTAAGCTTAATAATGTCTGCAGTATAAAATGTTCAGCTTACCCGTGATTGAAGATTTGTGAAGAAATCTTCATCCTTTTTCGAGTTCTTAACGGCCACTTCTGCCATGAGTCTTACTCTGTTTATTGGTACCCCAAACGATAAGTTTATTCCCTGATGGCGTGATTCAGGATTAGAATTAGAAAACTGGTTGTCAAATGTTTTTCTTGATTTCGAATTTGAGGAACGAGTTGCATTAATTAAGTTTAAAGATGCTAGTCCTCCCGAAATACTGGCAGAGTTGAGGAACATGGCACACTTATGGCTTGTAAGATGTGGTAAGTCACAACTTACTTTTTTAAACTGAGAAGGGGGAAACTATGTAAAATATGCAATACCTGGATAAGACGGAGGTTTCTGAAGACAAGAGCTAGTTCCTTTGGTAAGGTGTCAAGAGTATCATGTGCCATGTGCCGTATTAACTCCATTTGTTCCTTTTCTTCTTCATTCATGTCTATCACCTTCTTTCTACGCTCACCATGCATCCCTCCGAAACCCAACTCCTTCATTTTACCGTAGGGTTGGAAAAACAAAAGGGTGGCCATCATGTCAGGAAAATTTAGCCCAAGTATTTTACCACTACTTTGAACTTCATCATGGTCATCAATGATTACAGAGTGCCAGAAGGAGGCAAATGCTTGTCGATACTCCGTTGGCAGGTGCTCATACAGCCCGTGATCAATCACCACTATCTCTGTTTTTCCAGTTCGGTGATTTTTTCTAACCATTAGGTTTCCCGGATGAGGATCACTATGAATATTTCCAGTTCTGAAAATTTGTTCTGAGAATATTCGAATAACCTTGGTCATGATTTCTTTAGTATCAAAGCCAGCAGCTTTAATTTTCTCAGCATCAGTCAAACTGATTCCTTCAGCAAAGTCCATTGTTAAAATTCGCTTGCTGGTCAGTTTCCAATGAACTGCAGGAACGTACATAAAATCCAAATCTTTCAGTTCATTCTTACATGAATCAGAATTCCTGCCTTCTGTAACAAAATCTAATTCTTTTTTAAGACTATCAAAAACATGAGGCATGACATTCAGGAAGGGGATACCAGGAATAAACCAATCTAATACTCGTAAAAGAAAAAGACAAGTTCCTTTGTCCATCTTGAACCTTTTAGCGATATCAAAATACTGAACTTTAATAGCAACCTTCTTTCCACAATGAGTCTGTCCCAGAAAAACCTGGGCAATAGAAGCCCCTGCTATAGGGTCCCGTTTGAAATTTGCAAAGAGTTTCTCTGGTTGTGCACCAAGATCTTCTACAAACATGTATTCTATTTCACCACTTTGCCTCTCAAAGATATTGCTCAATAAAGGTTTCAATGCCGCAGCAAACTCTTGAGGCAACATAGATGAATAAGTAGCCATACCCTGACCAATTTTGATGTAAGATCCACCGTTAACTAGCATAACATTAGCAATACGATTAGCTGCGAATTCCCAAAACTTGTGTTGAATTTCTTTGTACTTCTGCTGTTCTGGTGTCAGCTCAACTTCCTCGACATTTTTCCCATTTGGTTTACCAAACGGGTTTTCATCAGGTTGTTCCGGTTTCACCACGCCCCAATATGAATATTTGTAAACAGCCATGATTAAAGCAGCGTTTGAGACAGTTCTAACAAAGCGAACAATTCCAGTTAACATAACATTGTGATCTGAGAGATTCCACTCAGATGGTGATAAAGTTGAGTATCCGACACAAAACACTCCATAAGCTCCACCCAGGTAACCAAAAGACTTTAGAGGAGTCCAAATAACAGTAAGATTGACTTTCAAAAAATCGATTGTATACTTGAGAAGTTGTCTTGACCTGTTTAACGGATATGGTTTGGTAGCAAACATCCTTATACATGGCTTAGCTGTCCTTGGTAAAACACGGCAACATTTTAAAGTAGATCTCGGCTGAAGCCGATTTATAGATTGTCTGATCATTTAAAACCACCTCCTCACAAGTATCAGATCATGTTATCATTTATATTTTCAGTTGGCCAGCTTGATCGAAGTCCTTTCCTTCATTACCAATTAATATCCCTAAAATATCAGGTTGTTTGTGAAAGTACAATTTGCAATCAAAATTGGGTACACAGAAAGGGTATGATATAATATGATAATATCATGAACACTAATATTATCATAAACTCATAAAAAAGTACATAATATGTATGGACCACACAATATTGAATAATAATAATAATTGACATGTTTTTCACTTTTTTCAACTTTCATTTTTCAAGTCAAGTAACACGCCAGAGTTTTTAAAATTATTCAATTTTGTGAACAAATAAGATGTACAGAAATAATTACTGAAAAACGATTCTTTATTCATAGATTCATAGAATTAATGTAGACCATACTTCACTGAACAAAGCATAAAACTAGAAATCCGTTGGGTCCGGGTTTGAATTATTATTATGTATAATGCTCAACAGTGAAGAGTGTGATCACTCCGTATTACACGATAAAAAAGTTTACTGCAATCATACATAGCTTAGATGAGTGATTACAATTGGAAATCAAATATTATAAAATAATATAAAGTGCAGCAACTTTAAACATAAATTCCAGCGAATCATAAACACAAACAAAATAATCAAGTCTGAACACATAGAATTCGAATCTTTTGCTGGTATCAGTTATACTGTCAATCAAAGTACAGCACAGCAGCATTTTATCTTCAATTATCTCAGACTGTAGATAAAAGTCCAGAGCGGAGAGCGTAGACAGCACCAGACAGTGCATAGTGAAACAGATCAATGCGATACACCGGCCCTATCTTTCCTGAAGCAATGATCAAGTTAGGCAACTGGAACATTCAGTCACCTTGTCAACAACAACAAAAACGTGCTGATAGTGAATAACTAACGATTAACGAATGATAGACAGCCGAAATCTGGGGACAGGAAAATAATAAAATATCAAATGTTGCCAAACGTTTGGCGAAAATAACTTATGTCCAAATATAATTAGCATAAGCAAAAATACCTGTTACTCCAAAAAGTCCAGAGAGCAAGAGTAGCCCACTAGCCATGAGGTAGTTTTGGTTGCTGTTGATGATTGCAGAGTATGTGAGCCCAAGAAGTGTGGCAGGAACCAACATCTTCCGGGTATTCTCGTACTGTAACATTGAATAAAATGTTTTGAACCTGTCTCCTTGTTCAGAAAATACCATCAATTTGAATCTTCTATAATGAGCCTGATTAGGATCCAAGCCCCTTTAATTAAATTACAATACTTATTATTTACCTGTGTGGTACAAACATGCATTCCAAGAATAATTAAGATATCCCAGCCAGGTGAAACAAGAGATAGCTTGGCTCCTTGGTTGAGTTGAATGGAAGCAAAAAGGAGAAGCATCCAGGGAAAACCCACTGCTCCACCGTGAAGAGACAGAGTAGTGTGAATGTCCTTGACAGAGTCACAACCACTAAATCGTGCTACACCAGCAAAAGCAGCCAGGCCTGCTAATATGAATCCGTAGATCAGGAAAACATTTTCCTTTTTCTGAAAAAAAAAGTTTATTTAGATAACTTGGGCAAGCTTCACAAGTGAACAAATCACATCTTTTAAAAAGTATCTAGATGCTGCATCGAGCAATTGAATAGCTCTTAATTGCCTCAGTTGTTACTGAAACCCCCTCATTTGAGTTGAATAAGTAAAGTGATCAATAGAAAATATCATTTTGTATGAAAGTTTGAAAACATAAAAATGAGACCCACCACGAAGATGTCATAACTTGCCACGAGACAAGTAAGCGAGAGGACTGCGTCGGACACAGCTGTTGAGATTTGCTTTGTCATGCCTAAAGTTTTAATTAGTCATCTGAAAGCTACTTAGAGTTGGAGCATTTACTCATCACAAGCATTGAAAATAGAAGGTGCTTCACCCTCCTACAAACATATGTTGATACATCAATGAAAGTCAAGTATTATTGATTGAAAACAATGAATAAACTGCTATAAACTGAAAGAAAATGATGAAATAATCATATGAAATTACCAAATTATAAAAGTAGCACAGAATTAATTACTGTTTTACATCACAGTTAAGGGGGGGGGCCAATGGATATTTTTTTGTGAAACTTGATTTCGAGATAGCAGTTGACCAACAAACTAGGACCAGTGACCGAACTTTTGAGGGGGTCCCGGACCCTAACCGCCAAACGGTGCCTGCGGGGCAGCCACGCCCATATTTGGTCCAAATTAGGCCCAATTTAGCCAAATACCCTGAACATGCCCAAAACCCAAATTTTAGGTGCTCTACTTGTAGCTAGTGGTCTCTTGAACTCGTATATGAAATTTCATCAAGATTGGACAAAAAATGACTGAGTTATGAGCCAAAAACCATATGCCCATATTTGGGCATACGCACCAAATTTGGTAGATTTCGTCCCATAAATTGGTCAAATATCAATATTTTTCACTGAAACTTACTTTATATGAAAGGTAAGCCTAAACTACATATTCTCTGTAAGTTATAGCTTTATATCTGTTTAAATGTGGATACTAAGGCGAAAAGACCACAAAAAATGAACTAAATTGCCCATATCTTGGTTCGCGATATTCGCGGAATTGATCTCATTAAAATTGTAACAACTCGATCAGTTTTCAAAATTTTTCCATGAAATTTTCGGAATCGACTCGAAATCGCATTTCCACCTTAGTTTGAGAACAGATTTTTGATTTAGGCCTCCAAAAAAATTTGGCGGCCAAATTCCAAAATTTTCCCGGAGAAATTCAGAATTTGGCCGCCAAATTTTTTTTGAGGCCTTAATCAAAAATCTGTTCTCAAACTAAGGTGGAAATGCGATTTCGAGTCGATTCCGAAAATTTCATGGAAAAATTTTGAAAACTGATTGAGTTGTTACAATTTTAATGAGATCAATTCCGGGAATATCGCGAACCAAGATATGGGCAATTTAGTTCATTTGTTGCGGTCTTTTCGCCTTAGTATCCACATTTAAACAGATATAAAGCTATAACTTACAGAGAATATGTAGTTTAGGCTTACCTTTCATATAAAGTAAGTTTCAGTGAAAAATATTGATATTTGACCAATTTATGGGACGAAATCTACCAAATTTGGTGCGTATGCCCAAATATGGGCATATGGTTTTTGGCTCATAACTCAGTCATTTTTTGTCCAATCTTGATGAAATTTCATATACGACTTCAAGAGACCACTAGCTACAAGTAGAGCACCTAAAATTTGGGTTTTGGGCATGTTCAGAGTATTTGGCTAAATTGGGCCTAATTTGGACCAAATATGGGCGTGGCTGCCCCGCGGGCACCGTTTGGCGGTTAGGGTCCGGGACCCCCTCAAAAGTTCGGTCACTGGTCTTAGTTTGTTGGTCAACTGCTATCTCGAAATCGAGTTTCACAAAAAAATATCCATTGGCCCCCCCCCTTAAACCACTATAAAAACGCTTCTTAGATAAACGGTATTAAAAATCAAAGATACTGTTTCTTATTATTATAGTACTTACATATATTTGAACTGCAACAACATGACTATTAACCATCTTATAGAATAAACCTCAAAAAACACAACACTTCGCAAAAGATCACTACAACAAAAATATGTGGCAACATCACACCTATATTGCTATTTTCTTCAGAGTCTATCTGTCATAATAATTTCCACTATCTAAATCTCAATCAAAAAGAGCATCCATGCATTCTTGGCTTAACACACTCCCATCACTATAGACGATCATATCGTGTACATGGTATTAGTGCTTTTCATGCAACAAGTAAAACAAATCCTTTATGTCATGTTTCCAGGGTTTGGACTGGAATTTCCCGCTTAAAGAACCTCCATCACGTTACATTACATAATTTTCTCAATAAATGTAATAGATTTGTAGTGTTGTAATTAGTTTAAAACTATATAATATAACTAATTATAATACAAAAGGGGCTTCGTCTAATAATTTTAGAGGGGATATTTTCAGCAGATTGTTAAGTGACACATTACATCACAATCTATGACTCTAGAACTTATGAATGGTAATACATCTTTATTGAGTGAATGGCAAAAGACCAATTAATTTAAAGGTTAGTGTGAGATTGTTTTGATAACCTGAAATACGTTTTCATACATTTTCGAGAATTGGTCATTAGAGGGGTCATGGTTGCGAGAAGTCACAGCCTCATCATACTTCATCCATTGGAATTTAGTATGTTCATGAGAGATAATGATTTCATGGTTCGGATCATTGATCTTTGCCAGGAATATCACAATATTATGTTTTTTCATCCCATATTTTGTGTACTCAAACTGATATCGATAATCATTTATCATGGTTAAATCAGATGTTGTCAATCCTGACTCCTCATAAGTTTCCCTCATCGCATTTTCCATTTCGGACTCTCCTTTCTCTCTGCCACCTTTCGGAGGACTCCACCTACCATTTGCATTAAATAGCAAAAGAACCTCAGGAATTTCATTTTCAAAACGAAATACAATTATTCCAGCAGCATTTCTCATGGTAATGTCATGCAAACTGAAGAGAAATTTTACATCAAAATTCAAAACTGTATATGAACCTGAAGCTGATGTAGATTCTGCTATTAGGTAAACAAAACAGAATTTATTATTATGTTAGTACAAACTCAAATATAGTATCATGTTTTATACCTGGAATAGACCAACAAAGAGTTTTTTAATTATATAATCGTGTATAAAGATGTGTGTATGACTTGACTGAAATTTAATTATTATTTCCTAATGCCTACAGAGTGGGCTAACAATACAATTACACACAAGGGCTGGCCATTAACCAGCGATAAATTCGGCTAGGGACATAATTTTTCCATAGGGCTAAAAGTATGCATACAGAGTACAAGTTTACATAACGGCCCTTGAGGAGCCCTCACTGAAAACCTCCCAAGACATTTTGTCTCAGCATTATTTTATATGCAGGTGGTGCTTAGTGAAAGCTCCCTTCAAATTATGGTTTGTAAAATTTAATGAAACAAGAAATTCAACGAAAAAAGAAATTTAATTTTCGCACATTTTACAGAATCAACAAATTTATAACAATAAAAATATAATGCTCATTTTGTGAATGATTTTCTTCCTTGACTGCTAACTTGGTTGAAAACGGACAGGCAACTAGAACGGGGTAAAGAATGTACAGGATATAGATAGTCACCTAGTGGTAGGACCTTTCCTTATTTAACCCTCAATCACAGATTGCCCGATAATTCGGTTAAGTTGACCCATGGAGATTGGATAAATAAAAAGTTCACAGCGGATTTGCACATGCATGCAGCCTCATGACTCAATTTTTTAAAATTTGAAAATTCAATTAATTATTATAAATGTAAATCAAGCGTTACATTTCAGCCATGCAAAATTACAATGACATATTTTGATATACTAATTGATAAATGGTACTGCAATATAAGTGACTTAATGTTTGGTACGGAGATAACTGGACCTCTGGACTCATGTCTGGTCATCAAGTATGGAAACAACCAAGCGAGTACTTCAATACACAATGACGGTGAGAAACTAATGGACCAGGAGAAATCGATTTGCTCTTTCTCACTGGGATGTGAACGGACGCTTGAGTTTTACGAGGGCACAACTGGGAAACCTAATTGTGTCAAGACGATAAGGATGAAGAACAACAGTCTTGTTGTAATGCGGCCTGGGACACAGCAGAATCTGAGGCATGCTGTGCGAGCAGAGCCGGCCACAAAGGGAGAGCCTCCAAAGAAATCGGAGCAAGTAAGATACTCCCTGTCATTTCGAGCTATTGTGAAATCTGGTGGCCAAGTTAGCTCTCAGAATATCAGCGCAGAGACTAGTACACCAGCTTCTGGCACCGAAGCCCAAGTACCTGCGCAAAGAGTCATGTTGGTTGCTGGAGACTCTTATGCTCAAAGATTGGACTCCGCAAAGCTGGGAAAAGGGAAAGTCACAGTCGTAAATGTTGCAGAAGGCGGAGCAAAAATGGACAAAGTCCAGAAACAGTTGGAGGACTACTGCACGGCACATCCTGATGTCCACGTTGAGAAGCTTCTGATCAGCGTAGGCACAAACGATATTAGGCGTGTGGGGGATAAAATTGGTATTTTGAGGGGACCAGTAAAGCAACTTTTTGGTAAGATAGGCCTATTATTTCCCAACTGTAAGGTATATGTTCAATCTCTATTGCCATTACCTTTACAGAATGATAACGATAAATTAACTAACAAGAGGGTAATGGATTTTAATAGGATTTTATACAATGAGTGTGTATTCAGGAGGTTCTTTTTCATGGATGTGTTTTATCCCTTTACAAAGTTTAAGAGAGCTCTAAGTGAGCCTGTTAAGAGATTTGATCCCTTATTTGAGAACAAAGGCATTCACCCCAATCCTCAGAAAGGTATGGGTGTGTTGGCCAGATTTTATATTCGTGCCATCCACAGTAGATATTTTAATCCTTATATCTATCAGTAGTTCTTTTGTGCTGTCTTCTGAACCTTGTTAAGCTAATGATATGCAGTTGTAGTCTGGCAAGTATACTCACCTGTAAAACACCATGATCGATTTAGTAACATACAGATTTAGAGTTGGAGTGTTTAGTGGAAATTCTTTTGCAAAATCCATCAAACATCAGAACCGTAGACGTGGTACAGGTAGTATTTTTGATTATTTAGACAGCTGCATTGATTCTCGCTTATTATTTTATATTTTTTATGTTATATTCATATGTCACTTTTCGCTAATCACTATCACATATGTCGGGGTAAGTGGGTTGGCTTTTTCTAGGGTCACTTATGATTGCCGAGCCTTTGTACCAACATACCCAG